ATTCATCTGCCGCGAGAGTTATCCAACGATGAAATGTGTACCGTTAAGAGAGAAAGAGAGAGAGAGAGAGAGAGAGGGAGAAAATACGGTGAATGCGTATGGCGTGAACATGGAAAAGAGCAATCGGGCCTGTTCTCGATGCAGTCCTCCCGACGCGAGTCTACTCAGCTGCGTCTAGATGTGCTTGTGTATTCTCTAAGCGAGATGAGCAAAAATCCGTCCGTGCGCGCTTCTCCTTTTTTTTTTCCACTCGCCTTTCGCTTGTAACGGCGGCGAAACCACCCTCCACCCTCCCTTTCTCCATATAGGCGTGTAACGACGATGCGCAAACAATGACGAGGGTTACGTAACAGCTATGCACGATGCAAACACACCGTGTTGCGCTAAGCGCGTATCTGTAGCGGGGTGAGCAACGAGCGGTAACAGGGACTACGGTGGCGACGGCGGCGACGTCCAGGACGAACAATGCGTATCACACGGTGGCCTGTCTGAAAATGCCCGACGCTCGTTCCCCGTCGTGCCAAACCTCGCGCCAAACGCGAGCAAGAGGCGCGACAGACAGGTATGCTAATGATGGAAAGAGATAGTGAGGCAGGGAGCAAAGAAGCGGTATGCGTGATATCGAGCGTAATATCTGAAATAAATTTCCAATAATCGAGAGTTTGAAACTCTCTAAAGAATAGATTAGGAGAACTCGTCGCTACTAAATTTCTCGCGCGTCATTATTTTTGCTTGATGTTTCATTTATTTAAATTAACTTACCGATTGTATGATGAAGTTTTCTACATTGAAAAAAAAATGTACAACAACATTATATTAATAACATTTTAATTGAAAAATAATTTTGTTGATTCACACAATAATAGTAGTACTAATAATACAAATAAATTTTTAAATCCAGAGCACGTATTTTTTTCATACAGTATAGGATGTATAATACAATATAATACATATATATTAGATAAAGTTGATATAATTAAATAATTAGATAAAGTTAATGCCTATATTATTATTGCTTTTAATTATTATTAATATGAATGTATTTGTTGAATTCGTTTTGAGATTTAATATTTTGATAACGTTCGTTTTTTCAAAATGCATAGTAATTACGCGAATCTATCTGGTAGCCGAGTCAAGTTTCTTAATGATTCAGGTCATCAATGAGATAAGATTAATTTTAATCTTAAAACTTATTTAAACTTACTGTTTTTATCTATTTCTAATTCTTAGAATTAGAAAAAGATAAAAAGTAAATTTAACCAAGATTAAAATTAATCTTACATTGGTAGAACCGGACTTTAGTGGAGCATTGCCGCACAGTTTAAATTATACCGATTAATGACGTTTTTCTAGATGCACAATATAATGAGATACATAAAATATCGATTAAAATCTGTATGTTCTCGTAGTTACGATTAATACAAATGTGTTTTACATTAAATCCTTCTTGAAATTTAATACTTTGGTAACGCTCGTATTTTCAAAGTGTAGAATGACTGCGTGAATCTTTCCGGTGGTAGTCGAGCGAAATTAGCCAGTCTAGTTTCTTAACGATTCAGTGGAGCACCGCCGTACACAGTCTGTAAACTTACGGAATTTCATTGGTGACCGCAGAACAAGAGGAGGCGGTGATCGCGCTTCCACGAGCGAATGCATCGAGGTATAGATACGATGACGGGATTGTCCTTCATTACGCACGAAGGAAAGTGCAGTCATCGGCGCGCATACCCGTAGGTATGCACACACAGAGGCATTAGCTCCCCCAAAGCCCAGCCGGTATTAATTCCACTAATTGGACGTGGTTTGGGTCGCGGCAAACATCGGTCCCCTGCCGATCGCCCCCGACTTGTCCGGACAACGCGCATCGATCTCATGATCGATCGTCCTCTCGCAAGACAAAGGACGATTCTTATTCCATTCTGAACGAGTTGTTGCTCGAGCCTAGCTTTATCCTTCAACAGACAGGGTTCATGTACAATTTATCATATCCGCGGTGGTTTCGAAGTTGCAGGAATATCAGTTTGCAAACTTGTCTGACATAAATCTTTTTTCGGATTATATATTAGCGTAGTCAGTAGTGAATTTATTTGACCGTTATTAGATCGTTGTATGCGGCTACGTGAGCAATTATGATAAATAGATTGTAATACACATACCTACAGTTTTCGAAATTAAAATGCTCCACTTTTTCGCAATGCATTAAGAGAAACAAATGAGATTGCAATGATTTTATAATTTAACTATAATTTATCATTTTCGGTGTTAACTATATATTTTTTGGTAGAGAACTATAAACATAATTATTATCATTAACAATATAGCAATAATAATTACAAAAATAGATCTCTCATCATAATTATTTTAAAAAAGATATATTCTATATTTCTCTTTCGTTATCATAATTATTTTAAAAAGATTCTATATTTATCTCTCCTATCACCACAATTTTTATTACTCTATATATTGAGAGAAAATATATTTTAATATTAAACAAATAAGCTATTAATATCCATCCATAAATAATTTTCTTAAGTAAAATATTTTATATCAAGATATTTATTTTTACAATATAGTTATTCATAATTATTTTACCAAGCAATTATAACCATGAATACCAAATACTTTTCTCTCAATGCCAGTGTGTTACGATTTTCGTAAATATCAAATGTTAATTATCTGAGGTGACATATGATTGCTGAGAATGACCTTTACATTGGCACAGAGACTAGATTTGCAAATGTATGAACAGCGATTATCCTTTTCGCTTACGCTCAATGAAGAATAGGCTTAGAGGGTTTCGTTTTGTTTGGGAATCTACAAGATGACGAGATCAGCTGTTTCGAGTAAACGTACATCTATGGACCGTGGAATTTGTATGTGAGCATGAATACGGTCATGTGTACGAGTGCGTATGGTTGTGCGTTGTGCGTATGGTTGGACGTGTCGGTATAAACACACACGATAATACTCGCATCGCGAAGGGTCTCCCTAGCGAATCTGGGTCACCGGGCCGATGAGGGGTTGACCGGCCAAAAGAGAGGAGAGAACGCTAGACTCTTCTCCCCCCCTCTCCCCCTTCCTCTCGGTAGCTACGAAGCGTCTATGACGAGATAATCGGAGACCGGCTTCGGATCTACTCTGCTGTATATTTTTTTGCACTCTGCATGAACGGAGCTCATAAACACGCTTAATATACGGATTAAAAGTCCTTAAAAAGAAAAGTTAGTCTTTCTGCTCTTATCCAAGATGAGAAACGTGTCGCGCATATATTTAATTATTTAGTACGTGAATACTAATTCGACTTCCTTGTAGACTTTCTTTTAAACTCCTTTTAATCAGGAATATATCTACTCTCGAGATTAAACGTCTTGTTTGTTACATTCGCTCGAGTAATTATTTGTATCTGTGTGCACACACTGCACAGTTACGGTTTTCATCTCTGTCTCGCGAATCAAGGCACTCGATCGCGGCAAAGTTCACCTCTAGGAACTGTCGGCGGATACGGGCGCCTTGGGTATGGCACAAAGATATTAAGCACCCATACCCTAACCGTGTCGAGCTACGGAGAGCGTAGACTATCCTATGTGCTGGACTGGTGGGGATGGAGAGGCGGAGGAAACGCGGAAGCGCGCGCGGCAGAGAGGGGGCAGGTGGACTAAGGGTGGGCGAAGGCGCAAGGGGATGGCAGAGTAGGAGAGAGATCGCAAGGAAAGCGGAGTTACCTACAGAAGAAATAAGTGCGCGCGTGTAATGCTGATGGCGAATATGGTAGAGGAGATCTGAGGGAAGAGTAGAGAGGGTGGCGGAGGAGGAGGAGGAGGAGGAGGAGGAGGAGGAGGAGGTGAAGGAGGAGGTAGAGAAGGGAGAGGAGCAGGGGCAGATAGAGGAGGAGTGGGCTCGCGCGGACGGCAGAAGGGTGAAGAAGGGAGGCAGTACGCGCGAAAGCGATCGATTCGAACGTTGGCGACATTCTTCGTCGTAGGGACAGGGAACAGTGGGAGAAAGAGGGAGAGAGATAGAGACACGGGCAGTACGTGTGTGCGCACGTGACGCAGAGGGGGATGACGAAAGAAGGAGATAAAGCGAGAAAGCAGAGAGGGCTGGCTGGTCGTACGAGAGAGCGGGAACTCGGAGAACGTGGAGGGTAGCGGGAGGCGAGGAGGGGCGGCAGACGAGAATAGTATCGGAAACATAGGAGAGAAAAATGAGTGAGAATCACATACGCGATTAACGCGACTCTCCGAAGAATCGAGAATGTGAAATGTGAGAAAACAACAGTACGGAATGAATTGAAAATAAAATAAAATAAAGAATTGTTGAAGGAGAAATCGGATGTGTAACGAAGTGAAGAAACCGCGATCGTACTGGAACGTATTGAAATGGCGTAGACAGCCGAAGAAAGAAGCAAGAGCAAGAGCAAGAGCCGAGAGACTTAGGAGACCGAGCGAGAACAATCAAGATGCCCGAGAGAGGAACAGCATGCGAAATAAGAGACAAGAGTGAAAGATATAAAAGCGGAGAGTGAGGCGAGGAGATATGTACGCGCGAGCGAGCGAGTCGAGGTGGAGGAAAGAGAGAACGTAAGACCTACAACGAAAGAAGACAAACCCGGTGAGGTAAAAGAAGAAATCCCCCCCACCATCGCGTCGCCAGTACGTTCCAGTCGTACTGTCCTCAGGCTCTCTGCGCGTCTGCGTCTGGTTGTCCCTCTGTGTTGGTAGCCCCCGGAACCGTCCTCACCGGCGTAGTCGTCGTCGTCTACCACGTCGGTGGCAGAGGTTGGCAAATAGTGGGGGACGCGGGGGGCGGGTGACCGAGCCGCCGCCACTCGGGGGAAGGTTCGAAAGGCGTAGACAGTGCGAGCCTGCCGTCCAATAGCAAGAACAGCCGCCCTGGTGGCTCCGCCAACCGGATAGTCGGTTGCGCGCACAGAACGCCCATCCTCCCCGTTTGTCGGGCTCCCACTGATGTTTTTATTTATTACATCTGTGACTGGGTAGGGAAATACTCCCGACTCGACCGAGAGAGCGTTTGCTACTTTGAGAACGAGCGACGCGCGTCCCTGCGAGTTACCGCGGCAGCCGCCTCCGTCGTCATCGTCGCCGTCGCTGCCGCCACCGTCGTCGTCGTCGTCGTTGCCGTTGCCGTTGCCGCCGCCGTCGCCGTCGCCGTCGTCCTCGCTGTCATCTCGTCGTCATTGACATCGTCACAATATCGTATTCACGGTTACGGTTCCCTCGTGCTCACGCGTTCTGTCGTTTAGAGCTCGGTGTTATCGCGATTCGCTTTTTGTTTTTTGTGACATGAAAGTATCATCGTCGTGAGCCAGTGAATAAGTTGCTAACGTCTCGCTGACGAACTCGGCGCGACAATTGTCGTCGTCGCTGTCTGCGCGATAACTTTTTGTCATCGTGTTGTCATCCTCGCTGTCGTTGTGTTATCATTGAGTTAAACATCTTCGCAATGGATCGGTGAAAATAAAATAAGTACGCGCTGAAAGTGGACTACAAAGTGGACTACAAGTTTGTTATGGACACAAAAGTTCATGTGTGTATGAAGACTGACAAAATCGTGCGGTCTGATTTGTGTAAAGACGCACGATCCACGACGTTTGTAGTGATAAGCGATACGTTCGAAGAACGTTAGTCGAGTGTAATTTTGAAAGATATCCTTCGAGTTTTTATCGAAGAGTTTATAACAATTCGCAAGGAGGATCACGAAAGAAACCAGCTTTAACATGCATTGAAACGATTCACGCTCGAGTCGTACCGATATTCGCCATCGGGCGAACACAGTGATACGGCGACGTGATCGACAGAGGCACGGAGCTTATCGCTGGCGAGAAGAGTGGCGTGCCGGAGTGTCTCGTCGTCTCTACAAGTCGTAGGAAGAACAGGGACGCGCGTTTCCGACCCTCCATGGACCACGGAGCGATGGACAGCTCTTCCGCCCACAGCAGTCGTGCCAGTCCCGTAACCGGCAGTCCAAAACATCCTCACAGCCCGTCGACGCAGCAGAACCAACAGCAACAGCAGCAGCAGCAGCAACAGCTTCACGGCAGTCAACATCAACCACCGCCGTCTCATCAGCAATCGCACGGGCGTGATCAGATTCGCGATCATCCGCAGCAGCAACCGCAGCATCGCGGTGTACCGACACCGGGATCGCCCACGAGAGGTTCACCACCCCAGGGCCTTCCTCTGAGTCCACCGCCGTTGTCGGCCGGGGGCGGCCCCGGGGCACCACCGGGTATGGTGCCTCGTATGCCGGGTTTGCCGCCGCCGGGACTGGGACTGCTGGGCCAGCTCGGTGGTATGCTGAGCGGGCATCATGGCTCGCCGCTCGAATTAATGGCAGCTCATCACGCGGTTCTGCCACCAAGATCCTACAACAGTCCACCGCCGATTAGTACTAGCGATCCTACTGCCAACGAGTGCAAGTTGGTCGACTACCGTGGCCAAAAGGTCGCCGCGTTCATCATTGCTGGCGACACGATGCTGTGTCTGCCTCAGGCCTTCGAGCTGTTTCTCAAACACCTCGTGGGCGGCCTCCACACAGTCTACACGAAGCTCAAGCGACTGGATATCGTGCCGTTGGTGTGTAACGTTGAGCAGGTTAGGATTCTACGCGGTCTCGGAGCTATCCAACCCGGCGTCAATCGGTGCAAGCTGCTCAGCTGCAAGGACTTCGACATTCTTTACAGGGACTGCACCACGGCCAGGTAGGTCTGATTGAATTGATCCTCGGGGAGACGTGATAATAGGATTCTCTTATCTGTTCAATTCTTGTTCATCGATCGGATCGTTGCGATTCGCGAGCAGGCGAATTTCTAGATCAAGAAAAACTTGCGTCTGTCTAATTCGTGGCATTAAGTTTGTAGCTGTAGACAATCGACATGCTAAATATTTCGGATAAGAGAGAGAATAGGGGCTTTATTCTCGAAAAATATATGCACACAAAAATATCGTAGTATATGTTATGTGTATTATAGATTTTTATGCGATTGTGTAGGATTAAAAATATAGGCCTTCTCTCTTGAGAGATCGTGACTTAATTTCGACGAAACTAATTATTTTGATGTTGCCTCGTGGCGATCGTGTCATGTTTTGAACGTTTCTAAAAAAAAATCCTATCCATAATAGCGGTGAGTAGCAGCTGTTTGTCGACTGTTAGCCATAATTAATGCCAGTCCATTTCGATAACAAGATAAGGAGAATAAGATTCCGGAAATAACACTCACATACTGAGTACGTCTTAACGCGCTTCTTGGGCGCCGTTACTACGAACGGAAGCTACGATCCTCGCATACATTAATAACGCATGATGTCGCCGCTGGGCAGCACTTTATCTTCGCCCTGTACCTTGGCTTGGCTTTCACGCTACCAGTCCGCCAAAAAATACTTTAATTGTGTACCACCTACCGCTCCTTAAGACTTGATCATCGTCGAAAACAGCTCCTGGTGACCCTCAGGCCTTTTCGTATAGATAGTTCACGAGTGATCCTGATGCATCGTGAAATTGCTTCACGAAATTGCATTTTGTGGTTTGAAAGGAATGTCATTTCACGAATATAGCTTTATTCGCATTTAAGATAGTCACGCTAAAATGAGAGACATGCAGCTACTTTTAAAATAATATTTACGAAATGGAACAATCATTCGGTGAACCGTACGACAATCGAGAATTAAAATATCCGAGTCGTGTGGCAGCGGCACGTGCTCCTCGTTTCTAGGATTGTCACCGAGTTCCCGCGCCAACAGGTGTCCCTTTCACGGCAGTTTCTCTGAATGAATCGTCCCCGAATAGGGAGAGAAAGAGAGAATGTCGGGCGAGAGGAAGAGAGCCCGGTTGTACAAGCTCTCTCGCACCCCACCCACGAGGTAGACGACAGACGAAACGGAATGGTAAACGGAACGAGGGGATTTAAGGTCGTCAGAGAAAGTGTTGTCCTCTCTCGATGTCGTCTCCGTCAATCCGGATCATCCCATCGATCAACGTTTCGTTCTAGTCGATAGGCTCGACAATTTCATTCGATATACTCTCGACAAATTAATCACTTGCTATGTTTAATTGTCACGATATAATCGAGATTTTTCGGTATTAGCGGCGGGTCGCGAATTGCGTGGCAAATAGGCAATACTTATTCAGCGTGCGATGCGCAGTGGCAGTCACAACGGAAACGGATTCAACGCGACACGGAGAGAGAGAGAGAGGGACCGAGTGAGAGGGAACCGAGGGATATCCCGAGGGACAGAGTGAAAGAGCTAGAGAGATAGTCAGAAGGAGAGAGCGAGCGCGAGAGGTAGAAGGAGGAAGCTCGTAGGGATCGCAGGGATCCAAATAATCCCGAGTCGCAGTCACAGAACAGAGTTCCGCGAGCCGTCGGCTCGTGCGGGTCTCGTCTTTCCAGGCTACGTTTTGTCGTCTCGCTAGAGATTGCTCTTCCTCGCGATGTCAAATTCAAACTGTTCGCTCGATTTAAAAAATCGCCAGTTTTCCTCGATATTCTATTACATCTCTGTCCATTAGAAATTAATCTTACGTTTCCGCTTTCCGTTCACAAATAGTGTTATGATCTAGAAAATGAAGGCTTGTTCTCATTTCTTGAATAATTTTTTCTGATTTTGAAATTCTGTCTCTAAAGTATCATTTAGTGACATCTAAATTGGCATCTAATATCAAGAACAACATTTTCAATTCGTTGTTAGATAATCATACGTTTAGAAATATTTGTTGTATTAACGCGCATCGCGATGATGTAAAAAATTAAGCAACCTGGCTCTTGATTCTTTAGTTCGCTCTCAAAATTCTCAAAATTCTATTTCCACTGGTATTCCTACATTCTGATCGCAAAGAAACGAGATTGTAGAAAAGCGAAATGGCGATAGTGAAAAACAGGATGATCAAGTGGCTGCGACACGATCGTTTTGCGCAGTACGATCGCGTGTAACGTTGACGTCGTTACATTCTGATAATACACGGCAACGGTAGCGGCAGCAACACGGCGTGCACACGGCCGTGCCACGTCTACGACGAACGAAACCAACCACACACCCGCACGCGGACGATGTAATACGCGCGCGCATGCAGCACTTGCACACCTACGTAAAGCAGAGCGACTGCACGTCGACCCCGCGCCTCTTCTATCGGGCCAATGCAACAGCATGCGCCCAGAACCGCACCAATAATTCAGGGGGATTTTTCTTGCGGTTTACAGCGCGGCACCGGGTGCGTTGTTCCGTTCGGACGGCCCGTAGATACATAACCGATTGCGCCGGACGTGCCGTATTGCGTGCTCACGGGCAGCAATAGTGTTAAAAAGCGAGGAAAGCAGGCGACAACGACGAGTACAAAATATATAACGCCGTGAGAGAAAACGTGAGAGATTTCACTCGTGTTGGCACACGCGCGTTGGTACCGTGCTTGTATAACAAACGCACAACATGCGTTAAACTACGGGTGTAGGGTATGTTTAAATACCGCGTTATTTCTTATCGCGAGACTTCCTCTCCGTAGATGCCATCGTTCGAGCATGTCCTTAAAACGCGAATCCGAGACGGGAGGTCACTATCTGATCGAGAACGCCGACAGATATTCCTGTTACACGCTGAAAAGTAATCGACTGCGATAATTGCGCGCGTCGTATATCATGCATATAAGTCGATGCGAGCCCTACGATAATCGGCAAGAAAATAATAACGTGGCCGCGTTGTGCACAGTTAACGAGACGAGTCAATTATATTAATTAATTTGCCTAACTCGGTCGGACGAACGAAAGAACGATCGCCTCGCAAACTGCTTCTTCGGAATTGAGTCTCTAATTGGGAATTCGTGAAAAGAGGTCGCGTCTCGAGGAGACAAAGAGAGAGAGAGAGAGAGAGAGAGAGAGAGAGAGAGAGAAAGAAAAAAAACGTACAAGACATACGGAGGGAAAAGGGACAATGCGTGGATTTTTCTTCATTCTTCCTTCTTCCTATCGAGCGCAGCGTTCAGTATACCTGATATAACAACAGCCAGTTGAAAATACGTGGGAGTGCGCGCGGCCCTGGACTATAATTCTATGCGCTATTAGCCGTTTAATTATAAAATTGTGCATAGATTAATTGGCTCCCGTAATGGCTCTAACAATGCACAGACATATTGTGAGAGAGCGAGAGACACAGGGGAGAGAGGTGGCAAAGGGGAGAGAGAAAGGAGGGGTATATAGAGAATAGAACCAATGAAAAGAGGGGTGAGGAGAGAGAGAGGGGGAGGGAGGGGGAGAGAGAGAGAGAGAGAGAGAGATGGCAGCAGAAAGCCGTTATTAATATTTATTTCCTCTGCTCGCTCCTCCCAGCTCCTGGTTGTTGCCGTGCGCCGATGCGTGGTTATAGGCTACGTAAGCTTTTAATATCTATGCGCTCGTGTTAACTGCACGAATACACAAATAGGGCTCGGTAAAGTCCTCGTATGAACGCGACTGTGCTCTCTCTCTCCGCGGCTATGCTCGGGAAGCGTCGCGATATTATTTGACGGACGTCTCGAAAAGGGATCGCTCGATTCTTTTGCTACAGCGACGTCGAGTGGAGAACTATCATCTCCTCTTCCCCCCTTCTTTCTCCGTCTCTCTTCCTCTTTCTTTCTCTCTGTATACGAACACGTATCTATCTGGTAATTGTATCGTTTACAGCAGCTGGCAGGCCTCTCGGCCTTTTTTCCCCGTTACGTATCCTGCACAGGGAATTGGGCCGCCAGCGTGATATTATAAAGGCTCGCATGACCCCATTGTTAGCATTACTTTTCATCGAGATATATACGCGTATGTTGTTGCCGCCGCACCGTTCCGTATGTACACGCGCTAGTAGACTCACCCACGACGTACATGAGCGAATGCGTGCGTGCGTGCGTGCGTGCGTGTCTCTCCATTAAATCTGCTTGTCGATTAATCCTATAACCGAAAACGAAGTCCACGCGTTTGCCGCTATATACTGTGCGTCAGTATCGTGAGAATAATTCAGGCAACTCCAATCGATGAAAACCGCGAGATGGATAAGCCTTGAACTTTATAATATATAGTAACAAAACACAGCCCCACTCTGGTCTTTTTTTTATTGATAAAAAGTGGGAACTATTCCACCTCGGAATTGGAAATTTCAAGTGCATCATAACGTATTCGGATGTTGGTTGTTATTGGTTATTTCATAGCTACCTATACAAGCTATTTAATGATACAGTCACGACATCAGTTTTTTGTTCATTTATTCATTTATTCGTCGGTTTAACAACTGTACGCTACAGTTGTTTATCGAGTTTGTTTAATTACTCGACGTCACTTTGAAGAGAAACCGGAGCGGTCTTCTCCATTTATAGAATCCTCACAGTCCTCGAAGCACGGCCAGCGGTCACTAATCTCTTCTTACAATCGTTCTTAATTTACGGAAATTAATTGAAAACACAAACCTGAGAGGGATGCTTTTCTTCCCAGCATCCGTCCTCCCCCAACCACGGTACCGTCCACCATCACCACCCAGCCTACTCCCGTGCTTCGCTCGTAATTCTCGGTAATTAATAATCTGCAACAAGTAATAATAAAGCCAGTAATCCGGCTGCGCGCGGCGCCGCGGCCGGGCAGCGTTCTTAATTCTAGATAATTAATGCAAAGACAAACAAGAAGGATTAAAACCGAGAGCTACCCACCCACCCACTCATCTTACTCTTTCTCTCGTTGTTTCTCCCTCTTTT